CAAAACCCCAAAACCCCAAAACCCCATAAACTATCCTAGCATTATTTTGAATAGTTTTAAATAATAATAAAATGCAAAAAATGACAGAAAAGTCAGAGTAGATAAATACTTCTACTCTAAAAGAAGATAATCTCAAGTAACTTAATAAGGATAGTAAGAGTGCAGCAAAAGATGATGATCAGCTTTCACAAACCACATAGTCCTCTGCAGCTCCATAGAAATCCCAAGTTGATAAAGAGTTCTAAGATTTTATGGTTGAAATGAAGAAACTCACCAGGGAAGATAATAAATTTACTCAGGAGTATTAGTTAGATAGGCTATTGAACTAATCATTTGTGAATCCATATGATATCCTAGAAGTAGGAGCTGAGGCCTCTGAAGAAGAGATAAAAAAGAAGTTCCGCATGCTATCTATTCTTGTTCATCCAGATAAATGCCGCCATGAAAAAGCTTCTGATGCTTTTCATCTTTTGGAGTAGGCTTATAAGACCCTTTTAGATCATGAGAAGCGCCGTATCTATCAAAGAGTTATGAGAGAAGCCAAGGAGAGAGTAGAATATGAGAGGAAAAAAGAAAATATGAGAAGAAAAGAGATAGGCAAAGACTCGCTGCCTGATGAAACTTTCAACATCGAAGTATAAGATATGTGCAAGAAGCTCTTTGAGGAAATTGAAGAGAGAAAGCAGCATTTTGAAAGATTAGACGCAGCCTACAAGAGGAAGAAGAGAGTTGAGGTCGAGACTACTAAAGCAAAGGAAGAAATATTGAAGGAAGATATGAAAGCTTGGGATGATAACAGAGATAAAAGAGTAGATGCTTGGAGATCATTCACTGAAAAGAAGGTTAAGATTGAGAAAAAGAAGAAGACTCATTTCGGCATCAAAGCTCCTTAAACCAAGATGGAGGAGAGACCTGATCATGCCCCTAAAATTGACAGTGCTAAACCTATGGGAGTTAACGAGGACTATAAAAAGTCTTGGAGATGATCAATTTCTAATCAATCTCACTCACTCACTCAGACAATTATAGTCGTAATGTAATTAATAATCTAAATCCTTAATTATTAAAAAAATATTCATATAACTCTTAGCAATTTATAAAGTTGGTATTTAGGGGTTTTGGGGTTTTGGGG